GGGCAGCGCCCCAAAACCTCACCGAATTTTGCATGTGGGAACATAATGGAAAACTCAATTTCTTGAGGGTGATTATGGTAAAACTAATGAAACTCGTTAGTTTTGGTAACCCTAATCCGGATTAATATTACTTGCTTCCAAAGCAACTAATGACGGCCCAACCATAATGAAACCCTAATCGTGTTTAATATATAAACAACTCTTCCTTTCCAGAAGGGGGACGTTCTTTAGTTCTTGTTTTTCATCACACATTCACAGAACCCTTTAGCATATTGGCTTATGTTTTTCTGTGCCTAGAAACGTAAGTGTCCACTTGGATTATCCTAGGCTGAATTTCTTGTAACCCTGACATTGGGTAGAAATATCAGTTCGGAAAGTGATATGACGATCCAAGTTGGTATCCAGATCTCCACCACAAACCCTAAATTTCCCAACAATCGAACTGATATTTTCTGTTTCTGGAGATGGGTGACTCAATCCGCGAGATGGCCACTAAGTTTGCCAAGTTGGAGAAGTTTGAAGGCGTCGATTTCAGGCGCTGGAAGAAAAAGATGCACTTCATGCTGACCACTCTGAAAGCAGCATACGTGCTGACTACTCCACGACCACCAGAGCCTGAGGAAGGTGTTGTTGAGACTGCTGAAGAGACAAGAAAGAGACAGAAGTGGGATAATGATGACTACATCTGCAAAGGTCACATTCTGAACGGTATGTCTGATGCTTTATTTGATATCCATAGTGAAGCCTTGTGTGCCAAGGAGTTGTGGGATACCCTTGAACTGAAATACATTACTGAGGATGCTTCTAGCAAGAAGTTTCTGGTTAGTGACTTTAATAATTATAAGATGGAAGATTCAAGGTCTGTCACTGAACATTACAATGAACTCCTTGGCATATACGGACAGTTTAAACTGCACAAAATGAATATGGATGAATCCATAGCTGTGTCCACTATCATTGACAAACTGCCTCCGTCCTGGAAAGACTTCAAACATAACTTGAAACATCAAAAGGAGGAACCGTCATTGGTTCAACTTGCTAGTCACATTCGTATTGAAGAATCTCTTCGTGCGAAGGAAAGTGACAAATCTGAAAAACCCAAAGGAAAAGTTGAACCTGGACAGACCTCAGTTCATATGGTTGAAAACAAACCTAGGAACCAGAACCACAAAGGACATGGCAAACGTAAGCAGGAACATGTCCCAGGCAACTCCAATAAAAAGAGAAAGGATCTGGTTTGTTGGAGGTGCAATCAAGTTGGGCATTGCAAGCGTGATTGTCGTGTGAATTTGGGCAACAATGGTGCTGGAAACAGTGGAGCCAATGGGAAAGTGAACGGGTCTTCGGCCCAAGTTAAAGGAGGTCAGTTTTTGACTAACTTTGATAATTCTAATCAGAATTATGTTTATTATGTTTCATTTATCCCTGAATCATTCTATGTGCAGGATGATGATGTTTCTTGGTGGATCGACTCCGGAGCAACGAACCATGTATGCAAGGATAAACGGATGTTTGAAACATTAACTCCCTTGAAGATGGCTCGGTGCTGAAAATGGGAGACGATTCTTTTATTCCAATTTGTGGTTTAGGTGTCGTGTGTCTTGAATTTACTTTGGGAAAGACAATTAGGTTATTTGATGTTTTGTTTGTTCCCAAGATTCGCAAGAATCTTATTAGCTCTAGTTGTTTGAATTCTGATGGTTTTAAACAAGTTATTGAGTCGGATAAGTTTGTTTTGTCTAAGGGTGGAATGTTTGTTGGCTTTGGATATTTAAATAATAGAATGTTTCGTTTGAATATTGTTGACAAATTATTACCTGTTCAGAATTCTGCATTTGTATCGTCTGCTTCTAATGTTGATAAATCTATGCTTTGGCATGTAAGATTAGGTCATGTCAACTTTAGAAGGATGCATGAGATGTCAAAAGATGGATTAATTCCAGCCTTTGATATGACATCTGATAAATGTAAAACATGCATGCTTACAAAAGTGACAAAACAACCCTTTCCTAGTGTCACTAGAAATTCAACTGTTTTGGAATTTGTACACAGTGACCTGTGTGATTTTCATTCCACTCCTTCTTTAGGGAATAAAAAGTATGTAGTCACTTTTATTGATGACTGCACTCGGTTTTGCTATGTGTATTTGTTCCACTCTAAGGATGAAGCCTTAGATAAATTCAAAATATACAAAACCGAGGTGGAATTGCAATTGGGCATTCCGGTTAAATGTCTCAGGACTGATAGGGGAGGTGAATATATGGATCCCATATACTTCCAGTCAGTGGGTATCATTCATGAGACCACGACACCTTACACGCCTCAACAGAATGGCATTGTTGAACGCAAAAATCGAGTTTTAAAGGAAATGGTAAACTCGATGTTGTCTTACTTGGGATTGAGTGAAGGATTCTGGGGAGAGGCCATGTTAACGGCCTGCTATTTGTTAAATAGGGTTCCAAATAAAAGGAAAAAACAGTCCCATATGAACTTTGGTTCAAGAAAAAGCCGAATTTGAGTTATTTTCGGGTTTGGGGATGTCGGGCAGTTGTAAAACTTACCGAGCCCAAAAAGAAAATTTTGGGAGAACGTGGAATTGATTGCATATTCATTGGATATGCTGAACATTCCAAGGCATATAGGTTTTATGTAATAGAACCTAATGATTCGGTTTCAATTAACACTGTTATCGAATCGCGAGACGCAATTTTTGATGAGATGAGGTTTTCATCGATTCAAAGGCTTAAGGATCTGACTTTTGATGCAATAAAGAGCAAAATTCAGAAATTCAAGATGGTGGTATCGTGCAAGAACCACAAGATATTGTAGAAGCAAAAGAGGTCAAGTTGCGAAAAATTTCGGATCCGACTTCCAACTGTACTTGGTGGAAGGTTCAAGGGATGAAATTAATCTTGAATACTCTTATTGCTATAGTATTGAAGATGATCCTAAGACTTATCAAGAGGCCATGGAGTCTCGTGATAGTGCCTTTTCGAAGGAAGCAATTGATGATGAAATGTCATCAATTCTTGAGAACAATACATGGGTGTTGTCTGATTTGCCTCCGGGTTCTAAACCTCTTGGTTGCAAATGGATTTTCAAAAAGAAAATGAATGTTAATGGGACTATTGACAAATTCAAATCCCGTTTAGTCATTCAAGGTTTTAGACAAAAAGCCGGTATTGACTATTTTGATACGTATGCTCCAGTTGCACGTATTTCTACTATTAGATTGTTGGTTGCCTTGGCAAGTATCCACAATCTGGTTATTCACCAAATGGATGTGAAAACAACCTTTTTAAATGGTGATCTTGACGAGGAAGTTTACATGAAACAACCAGAAGGTTTCATTATGCCCGGTAAAGAGCATATGGTTTGTAAACTTGTCAAATCTTTGTATGGGCTGAAACAAGCGCCTAAACAATGGCATCAAAAATTTGATGAGATGATTTTGTCTTTTGGTTTCAAGACAAACCAATGTGACAAATGTGTTTATAGTAGATTTGATGATACTACTAGAGGTGGAGTGATCATTTGCTTATATGTAGATGACATGTTGATTTTTGGTACCGACCAAAATCAAGTGGATGAGAAAAAGAAATTGTTGTCCTCCAAGTTTTCCATGAAAGATTTAGGAGAGGCTGATGTAATTCTTGGAATAAGAATTAAGAGGATGAACAAAGGATTGGTAATGACTCAAAGTCATTATATTGAGAAAATTCTCAAGCGTTTAATTTTACCGAGTGTTCTCCTGTGAGTACTCCTATGGACCCAAGTGTGAAATTAATGCCAAATAATGGTATTCCCATTTCACAGTTGGAATACTCTAAGGCTATTGGTAGCTTGATGTATGCCATGACAAGTACTAGACCTGATATTGCGTTTGCTGTGGGTAAGTTGAGCAGATACACTAGCAATCCTAGTGCTCAACATTGGCAAGCAGTGAATAGAGTGTTTAAGTATCTCAAGGGAACCATGAATTATGGTTTGAGTTACTTGGGGAGTCCTTCGGTTTTAGAAGGTCATTCAGATGCAAGTTGGATTACCAACATGGAGGACCATTCCTCAACTTCTGGTTGGGTATTCTTGCTTGGGGGAGGTGCCATTTCTTGGGCTTCCAAGAAGCAATCTTGTATTACAAACTCGACAATGGAATCTGAGTTTGTTGCGTTACCAGGTGCTGGTAAAGAAGCAGAGTGGCTAAGGAATTTGGTTTATGAGATTCCTTTGTGGTCTAAACGGATAGCACCTATTTTTATCCTTTGTGATAGTGCTGCGGCTTTGGCTAAGGCATATAGCCAGGTTTATAATGGCAAGTCTAGACACCTAGGTGTTAGACATAGTATGATTAGAGAACTAATCATGAATGGTGTGATTTCGGTTGAGTTTGTGAAATCGCAACAAAATTTGGCAGATCACTTTGACTAAAGGTCTGACAAGAGACTTAGTGCACAAGTCTGTAATCGGGATGGGATTAAAGTCCATTTAATTCTATAATGATGAGACACCCAATTCCCCCCTAATATAATGTTAGGAGTTGAATTCAATGTGGAAAGCTCATACTTATAGATTGGAACACATGAAGTACTCATCCCAGGTATGTGTTCGGTTCTGCTAGTTAGCCAGGTTGAAGTTTAACTTCTTAATAATTCCTTTGATAGATGTATGTGCATATACATGGAAAGGAGTTACCTACGTGATTGTGAAGTGTAGCCGCATTTCAAGAGTTGTGGACTTGACCTTGATACGATCATGAGAGGATTGGGACACACGGCTTTATAATAGTGTCAAGTTGTATTATGCTAGAAATTCAATAAACTAGTATGTATTTACTTTCTGGTATTCAAATGGGTTGATGGGTTCAATTCTTAGAACACCCTGATTCTCGAGTATTTGCAAGTGTATGATACTAAGTGGAAATTCAATCGTTTCGATATTTTCATTATGTATTAGTTTGGTTTGTTGTTGATAAGGTTATGTTGTTCAAGGGTTACACTAATATGGGGGAGGATGGGCTCCACCTCAGGGTGTGGTGTTCCTGGTGCGGTGAATGCTCCACCTCACCATCACCGCATTGTGTGGTATTAGTATTCCTTACAATCTTAGCTTGGCTCAATGTTGCATTGGCTCTTCACAGGTATTCGATTCTACCATCTGGTTTGCATGCTTCACTCACTTGTACCATGCAACTTCTCCATTCACTGTTATTTGTATAATCAATAAATATACAAACTAAATATAATTTATATACTAACGTACATTTGCCTCCAAGGAAGGTCTGGCTTCATAAACTTACAAGTGACTCAAGCTTCTTCTTTGACACCATATATAGAGAAAACTCATTCATTCACCAGTGATTGAAGCAATTCATAGGATTTGGTTGGCCCAGAAGAGTAAAACGAAGAAAGCTCTCTCTTAATGTGGGCTTTGGTTACTTGTACAGTACATAATTTGAAGCAAGGAGCCAATGAATAAGATTTGACCTTCAAATATTAACCTTGTTTTCTTTTTCTTTCATAAAGACTTATTCATTGTATAAGTTTCACGGTTGTAAGTTTTCTACAATTCATTAAATTCAGAATTTATTAAAAATTTGTATGGTACGTAATTTGAGACAATAGTAATCGAAATCAGTTTCATTTCGAACCAACTATACACAGTTTCACATGTAAAAAGAAATATAAATGTGTACCAAATCGATTGAAATGATGTTACACGTAGGATACAATTGTCTTCCAATAGAAACACCATTAAAAGTTGAACGCACTCCTGATGGAAAAATAAGGCATTGCCCAAATTATATCGGTTTTGAAAAGAAAAAAAAAAGAAGAGAAAAGGGTAGCTCAAGTATAAATAAGAACATGCAAATAATCCTTGTTCAAAAAGCAAAACATGGGAAAGCAAATAATGTCTTCTTCAAACTTCTTATTTTTCTCTCTAGCTCTACTAACCATCACACTCTCCCCCATACCAAATTATGTTTCTTCTTCTTTGGAAGAAACCAACGCTCTTCTTAAATGGAAATCAAGTCTTAAAATACCAAACAACTCCATGCTCTTCATAGGTTCCCCTCCATTTAAATTCTAGTGCATCAGTTCCATGCATTTCTTGGTTTGGAGTAGTTTGCAATGCTGATGAGAGCATTCAGAGGCTAAACCTCAGTACATCTGGCTTAAAGGGTAGGCTTCATCAATTTTCATTCTTATTGCTACACAGTCTTACTCATTTCCAGCTCATCCATGCTCTCTTCATGGGTTCCCCTCCATTTAAATTCTAGTGCATCAGTTCCATGCACTTCTTGGTTTGGAGTAGTTTGTAATGCTGATGAGAGCATTCAGAGGCTAAACCTCAGTACATCTGGCTTAAAGGGTAGGCATCATCAATTTTCATTCTTATTGCTACACAGTCTTACTCATTTCCAGCTCAATGTCAACAAGTTTTTTGGCCCCATCCCAGCAGAAATTAGACTCCTATCCAAACTTATCTATCTTGATTTTTCAGAGAATAAGTTTTCTGGTGTAATCCCACCTGAAATAGGAAACCTGCACCAGCTAACCACCTTGTACCTATACTCAACCAATATATCTGGCTCAATTCCTTCCTCATTGGGTAATTTAACATATTTGAATGTCCTTCGTTTGCACCGTAATCAACTCTCTGTTGGTGATTTTAGTGTCACCATGTCATTTTAAGTAAATGGAACTAACAAGTGAGCTAAGGGACTTCATGATTTATACTCTAATATATGTACGGGGTTGTGCGGAGTGCACGCATGTATAAGATCGATTCATAAGCCGGTTCGACGACTAGTCTAGGGGCAGGGGTCCGAGGTTTTCTAAAGGGGCAGCGCCCCTAGCGGGGTCCAAGGGGCAGGTCCCGCTGCCAGGTCAGCGGGCAGGGTCGAGGGGCAGCGCCCCAAAACCTCACCAAATTTTGCATGTGGGAACATAATGGAAAACTCAATTTCTTGAGGGTGATTATGGTAAAACTAACGAAACTCGTTAGTTTGGGTAACCCTAATCCGGATTAATATTACTTGCTTCCAAAGCAACTAATGACGGCCCAACCCTAATGAAACCCTAATCGTGTTCTATATATAAACAACTCTTCCTTTCCAGAAGGGGGACGTTCTTTAGCTCTCGTTTTTCATCACACATTCACAGAACCCTTAGCATATTGGCTTACGTTTTCTGTGTCTAGAAATGTAAGTCCACTTGGATTATCCTAGGCTGAATTTCTTCTAACCCAGGCATAAGGTAGAATATCAGTTCATAAAGTGATATCACAATCCAAGTTGGTATCCAGATCTCCACCACAAACCCTAAATTTCCCAACACTCTCTGGTCCCATTCCTACTGAACTTGGGAATTTGAAGTCTCTTATTTGTCTTGATTTGAGCCACAATACACTTAGTAGTTCTATTCCTTCATCATTGGGTAATTTGACATCTTTGGATATCCTATATTTGCACCAAAATCAGCTCTCTGGTCCCATTCCTATTGAACCTGGGAATTTGATGTCTCTCACTGATCTTGCGATGAGTCACAATCAACTCTCTGGTCCCATTCCTATTGAAATTGGGAATTTGAAGTCTCTCATTGGTCTTGCAATGAGTGACAATCAGCTTAGTGGTTCTATTCCTTCATCATTGGGTGATTTGACTTCTTTGAAAATCCTTCATTTGTTCCAAAATCAACTCTCTGGTCACGTTCCTATTGAACTTGGGAATTTGAAGTCTCTCATTTATCTTGCTCTGTTTCATAATCAACTTAGTGGTTCTATTCCTTCATCTTTCGGTGATTTGACATCTTTGATTTACCTTCATCTGGACCAGAATCAACTCTCTCTTTGGTCTCATTCCTTCATTAAACCTCAGCAACATAGAGGGTCTGTTTCTCATGACAATCAATTATCTGGTTCGATTCCACAAGGATTGGGAAATGGAGACGTGCTTGAGCTGTCACATATATTTTTTTTGGCCATTTGCCTGAAGATTTGTGCCACGGGGGAAAGCTTGAAAAGTTAATAGTAACTGGTAATCAACTCACTGGCCTATTCCAAGAGGCTTGCGGAATTGTCCTAGCTTAATTAGGGCTGGTTTTGATCATAATCAATTCAATGGAGATATATCCAATAGCTTTGGTATCTATCCACGCTTAAACTTTCTTGATATCAGTCACAATAATTTTCACGGGCAGCTTTCTCAAAATTGGAGTAAATGCAAGAATTTAACAACCATAGTGATGGCCTATAACAACATCAGTGGTAACATACCACCAGAGTTTGCACATTCAACTCAACTACAAAGCTTGATCTTTCTTCCAATAATTTGGTAGGTGAAATCCCAAAGGAGTTTGGGAAGATGAAAAGTATGTTGAATTTGTCCTTGGCTAATAACCAACTTTCAGGTATTATTACTCCTCCACAGCTCGGATCTTTAGAACTCCTTGAAGTACTTGATCTATCTACAAATAGATTGAATGGGTCAATACCAACAAGTATTAGTCAACTTGATCTATCCTTGATGTACTTTTGTCGCCGCTAATTATCTTTTTCCTCGTAGTGCATATCCACTACTTGAATCTTAGTAATAACAAGCTAGTGAGAAAATTCCATCCGAAATTGGTAAATTAGTTCAATTTACAGAAGCTGTTAATCTCAGAATTTCCTCACAGAAGAGATACCATCTGAAGTTCAAAGTTTGAAAAATCTACAAAAGTTGAATCTTTCTCACAATAGACTATTTGGTTCTATTCCTAACGATTTTACAAGTTTGCCTAGTGGGATTGACATTGACCTGTCCATAAATAAGCTCACAGGTCTAGTTCCGCTTTGCTCCAACTTTGTGAATGCATCCTTACAAGGTAATCCAGGTTTGTGTGGAAATTTTACAGGACTAAAATTATGTCCAAGTCAAATCCTGAAGAAGAAAAATGATCCTTTCATCATCAACTCATCCTAGTAATTATGCTCCCTCTTATCGGGTACTTTTACTTGGTTTATTCATGTGTGGCCTCATTGCTTATCGAAAATAAAGAGACTTTCTCCACAGAAACCATTGGACAAAGAAGGTGATTATTTCTCCATAACAAGTTTCAATGGAGGAGTAGTGTATGATGACATCTTGAAAGCAACGAATAATATTTGATGAAGCATACTCTATTGGGACCAGAGGATATGGGACTGTGTACAAAGCCTAGCTACAACCTAACAATGTTGTAGCTGTTAAGAAACTTCACTCATCATGTGAGAATGTTGATCATAATGGATTCCTTAATGAGATACGAGCATTAACAAACATAAGGCATCGAAACATAGTAAAACTTTATGGATATTGCGCACATGCCCGCCACTCATTTTTGATTGATGAATACCTTGAAAAGGGAAGCCTTGGATCAATCTTAAGAAGTGATGTTTGTAACAGAACTAGGTTGGTTGAAAAGGGTAAATATTGTAAAGGCTGTAGCTAATGGTTTGGATTATATGCATCACGACTGCTCACCTCCTATAATTCATAGAGACATTTCCATTGCCAACATCCTTCTTGATTCTGATTATGAGGCACATATTTCTGATTTTGGCACATCCAAGCTTTTAAAGCTAGACTCATCCAATTGGACCGCAATTGCACAGACACCTATGGCTATATCACGCCAGGTAAATTGATTTTCTGATGTTAGTTCTACATTTTCTTAAGTTTCGTGATATATATGAATAAGTATATGTACATATATGTATCTATGTTAGAATCTTGTGAGGTTGATATAACTCTTTTTCTTCTTATCTCATGTATCCTTGGATGTAGAGCTTGCTTATACAATGGTCGTGACCGATAAATGTGATGTGTATAGCTTTGGGATTATTGCACTAGAAGTGATAATGGGAAAGCATCCTGGTGAACTACCAACATTGTCTGCTGATTATCTGGTGTCATCAAATGTTGGAGATAGTCGTATTCCACTACCTTCACCACAAGTCGAGAAAAAAGTGAATTTGGTAACTGAATCTCTCAAGAGCATTTTTGAACTCGAATCCAAAAGAAAGGCCAACAATGCGCCAAGCTTCAAATCTGTTGATGAAGGCTTGATATTATTGTACTTTCAATGTTATTTGCTTTTTTGTCATGTTCGCTACATGCATCCTGATAATATGTATTTGTTTAAATGCCTTTTTGTTATGAAAGTTCTCATATCTTTTTCTTAATCATTACGTAGTACATTAACAAATAAGTCAGTGAAGATTGATATCCTTTTAGAACTTCACTTCTGGAAATCTAGTATTAGTCAAGAACAAATTTGTCGTACTATACTCTTTTATGTGGAGTTTAACAAGTTTTACCATTACTTGGATTTCCCGTAAATGTAAAATGTACCAAAAATAACATTAGTAAATTAATTATATACAATAAATTGTTTTCTATAACTTATGTCAAATAGATGAAGGCTCAAATACAAACACCAATAGAACATTAAACAATATATAGAGAGAATATTTACATATTTTATCAGTTACAATTCATCTTAACTCTTAATAGAAAGTTGTTCCTGTCTCTTTTTCAATTATCCTGCTTATAGTGTTTTAAATTTGATTACACACACAATGGGTTGTTAAACGGAATAGAATATGTAGCACTAGAAAAGCTAACAGGGTACCCATCGTTCTGCTTACTCTCTTTGTCCCAGAGGTCAAACATGACTTTTTTTATACATAAAATCAATTAATGTTATATCCATGTCATGCCATATCATGTTGCCTTGATATTTTTATTCAAGTTATATAATATTTGAATATTGCAAAATGAATAGGTTGAGATTGCAATCGTGAGTTGTAGAGATCTTAATTCGGAAGAATCACCATCAAAAGTTGACCAATAAACAACAAATTATCATAGCCATTAATGCACTAAGCAAGGTTTAGGCTCATACGTACATTTACATCTATGTATGGATAATGCAATCTTACAAAATGGCACCCGTAGTTTGATGGATCCTCGAAACTATTCATACCAATTAAGGCAAATATATATAAAAGCTTCTTCTTCATCTCAATATTTCTTCCATGACTATTGGGAGAACCACAATGGCACCCGTAGTTTCATGGATATTCAATAGATCATGAAAAATACTGCAAATTGTTTAATTTATGAAAATTTTTACTGCAATCGAACTAAAACAAGGTTCTCCACATTGGATGGGCATCAAACGTTTTTTTTTCAAAGACATGATATTTAATGTTGAACAATTTCTTTTGAAAAGACGTCATAAGAAGATTAACTAGCAATATTAAAAAGCAAATTTAGGTCAACTTAAAGTGCGATTGCCTGGGAACCATGACAACTCTCTATTTGTATTGGGCAAGTAGGTTTTTTTTAGTCAGAATTGACAAATATTTGGTGAGGGGTACTTATTTCTTTTAAATATTTTTTGTTTTCTAATACTTAATGAATTCTGAACATCGTCCTCTGAACAAACCATACAACTAATGTGGCATTAAATTCGAATAAAAAAATTCATTCAGTCAGTTTTTAACAAACAATTAACATGCAATAAAATCACATTTTTAAACAAGCAGTTTATTAATATCCACTTCAACAGTGATGCAGACTTCGACAGCTCTGCTTCTACTATGGAAATGATTCGATATTCATACCGATGAAAATCACCAATCCGTTTAATGAATAAATTTTTAGCGATTTTGGATGGATTCAGGTGAGATTGAAAACAAATTTGTAAGGATCAATAAAGGACTCAGATGATTGGTTGCCGTTTGCCGTCTGCACTTGGGATCACGAGTAGGGGAACGAAGAGGATTGTGGGCGACCGCATGGGGAAATCAACGAGCAAGCTCCCAGTTATGAGCTGTGCGGTTTAGTTGATCCGGGTAGGTATTGACAGAGGGAACGGAATGGAGTTTGGGTATCATCAAGTAGAAAATAGGGTTAATTATTGCTTTTTTTTTTGTTCAAAAGGCTAAACTCTTTATTTAAAGATAAAAACACCCTTACATTTCAGTAACATTCTTTTTTTGGTTTTTGTTTTATCTATTCGGTTTGCAGGTAATCTTCAAAAATTCGACA